TCCTTGAGGACAACGACTGCCATACCTACCGTCTTCTTCCCCCGAACATAATGCTTATGCGCTGTAAACGAATACAACGCATTGACGCGCACGCGTTCTATTCGAGCAGCAGTAGTTTTCGAATACAACACACCTGCGTTCTATTCGAACAGTCGAATTTTTCGAATTCTTTAAAACTCGAATGCAACGCATATGCGTTATGTTCGGGGGAGGACGGTAGCGTAGGTAAGGGCAGAGGCTGAACCTGCACACCAACTTTGAGAAGGCAGTCGCAACACCAAAAAAGACGAGACTTTTGATTCCCTGGATATTCCATTCGCCTTTCTTTACTTTTTTTTTTTCTTTTCTTCTTATTGTCTTTCATTTACTTATCCGTTTAAGACAGATCTCCATGGGTAAATAAACTTTATATACTGAGTTGTATAAAGAGATAAAGGAAGATTTAGTATGATAATGCTCCCGCAGCAGCCACATCCGTGCTCAAGCCTCCAACGAGGGAACATGCGGGAGCTGCACTCACCAGCAGTAATACTATAATGACAATAAAAAAAGGCCTGAAAGGCCGTCCTGTCCAGATTTGACAGGTAACTGCATTGGTTGGGCTCAAAAGAATTAGCCTTAAAAAAAAAAAAAAAAAAAAAAAAAAGATAATGCTCGCACAAGGGTGGCACGTGTAGGTTTGATTTGACATAGTATATCAATGAATTACAAGTAAAGCCAGTGCGGCTACGCCGGCACAAGGGTCAGATCCCACTACCCTGGATTATTCATTTTTCACCCTCGATTACGAAGATCAACGGTCACAAATGAACAATAGGGGCTAGTGGGATCTGGCCCCAATTCCGATTGATTATCCCAGCACTATAATGAAGTTGGTTATTGTAAGAATATATTTTAAAAAATCCGTTTAATCCGATTAATTAACTAGTAATTACAGCTACCACCTATATCATGTCAATAACTTTGAGAGCTCCCGTCGACCAGCAGGAAGGAAACAGACAATTACTAGTAAAATCAACTGCTGCATAAATGTCAGAGGAATGAATGTGCCCACAAAAATGGTGAAAAGAAAAAAGGAAAAGGAAAAACTCATGCGGATAAAAATATGAATGTGCGTAACATGTCGGTGGATTAATTAAATTACACTAATTCATAAAATACTCGCTGATGGCCGCGAGCATGAAGAAACAGAAGAAGACCGTTCGCACCGATTTCAAAATTTCAATCAATCAATCAATCAATCAATCAATCAATCAATCAATCAATAAATCAATCAATCAATCAATCAATCAATCAATCAATCAATCGACTTGGTGAGTGGAACATGCATCCCGTTAATTGGGAGAGGTAGCTATGCTTGCAGGGGTCCCCTATATAGCCCTAAGGAGTAGTGGTAGGTAACCAAAAAAAAAAAAAAAAAAAAGTAGTGGTAGTTAGATAGTGAAAGGCGAAACTGAGAGAAAAATATAGCTCAGCTTTTTTATTTAAAAAAAAGAAAAAGAAGAAGGCTCCACTGAGCGGATTTGACGAACATCGTGACTTGCAGTATTAAAATCAGAGATGATGGGCATCATTTGCTGTTGACGTCAACAATGCCGCCACGCACAAAATGTGAAAGAGGAGCGATATCACCGGTGTGGCAACATGGGCCCCACCTGTAGATTAGAGATTAACATTTACAATTTTACAACAACCAAAAAAAAAAAAAAGGCGTGATGGCAATAGAGTGACGGGAGGAGATCCGGACGTGAAGAGACGACAGCATAGTAGCACACAAAAGGGGAAAAAAAAACAAAAAAGAGACAGGTCCATGATAAAGAAGAAGTGCTCAAAAAGATATAGTAGTATCACGTCATCATCTTTTTTTTCTTTTTTAGACTCATCTAGGGCGAGACTTGGAATGAGGAGGGGAGTGCCTCTGCCTCCACGAAGAGAAGATACTGGCCCGAAGAGTAAGTACTATCCAACAGGGATCTCTCTCTCCCCTGTCCCTCTCTCCATATCTTCCTCCCTCACTTTCCCATTCTCGTGCTATGCTCTCTCCTTTCCATCCCTCTCTCGCTCAGTCAACCCAGCGGGTGCGTCCGGTCATTAACGACCTCTGCCCTCTCCCTATCGCCATCTCTTCCTTCCTCACTTTCCCGTTCTCTTTTATTTCTCCCCTTTGCATCCCTCTCTCTCACTCCAGGGGGATGAGTCCGGTCATTAACGAAAGTCCAATGCAAGTTATGCACCTTCTCTCTCTCTCTCTCTCTCTCTCTCTCTCTCTCTCTCTCTCTCTCTCTCTCTCTCTCGCTCGCTCGCTCGCTCGCTCGCTCGCTCGCTCTCTCTCTCTCTCTCTACACACACACATTCAGTCTTACCTACCCGATCGAATTTCTCTCTTTCTTCCTTCTCCATTGCCTCCCTTCCGCCTGTTCGATTCCATCTTTCAGCTTGTGCCCTCCATCCCCCTCCCGGACTTCCCCCAACAATCTGCTTTTCCCCATCCTCTTCTCTCCCTAGCCTCTCTATTCCCGTCTCTCTCCACGCCTTCCTCTCCTCCGTCGGGATCCTCTTCCAGCTCCTCCTGCAATACTTGATGTGGCCCCTGTGGATATGGTATATATGCCCATTCCTCTCTCTCTCTCTCTCTCTCTCTCTCTCTCTCTCTCTCTCTCTCTCTCTCTCTCTCTCTCTCTTCATTGCTCTCCTCCTCCACCTGCATTTTCACATTTACACCCTATCCCTCTCCCTCTCCTGTCCCTTCGTCATCATCCTTTTCTCTCTCCTTTCGTTCCCCTCCGCGCTGAGCCCCTCTGCCTGCCTTGCAATCTCCTCTACTTCCCCACCTTGTCCGGATCCCCCCCCCCTACACGACCTGCATTCCTCACTCGATTACCCTTTTGCGTTCTTTCCTCTGAAACTTCATTGGTTCCTACATCCTCACTGTGACTCCCTGACATTTCGACCTTCTCCTCCTCTCGATCCCACATCCTGATCGACCCGCTCCCAATCCGCGCTGCCCAACCCCTTCTTTGCAAATCGGATTCCTTATCTACATACTCCTCTCATTTGCTTTAGCACCCTCCTCGACGTCCTTCCCCCTACACAACCTCCTTGACGCCGTCAAAAATCTTACTTTGCATGCTTCACCCTACGCTGGTGACTCTCTCCCTCTCCTTCTGCTTCCCTTGTCTCCGCACCCCATCCTAATCGACGAAATCCTGACCCTCTCCTCCTCCTCATCCAGCAACCTCACCCCTTCGTCCTTCTCCTGCTACTCCAGCATCTCAAGGTTTGGATGGTGGCGACGTTCCCCTCCCTGCATGACCAGGCACTTAACCTCCCCCCTAGTGTTCCTTCTCCCCCTGCCTCCCCCCGCATTCACGGCATAATCCCCGCCTACTCCTCTTCCGATTTCATCCGCCCACTAATCCTGCCCCACTGATAAAATAGAACCCACGCAAAAATGGAGTTCCCCTAAGCAAATGGACGGATTGATGGAGGGAGGCGGGGAGCAAGGAGAGAGAGAGAGAGAGAGAGGGAGGGAGGGAGAGGGTCCAAGTCGCCACGCCAGGCAAACCCACTTACTTCACTTTTCGGGCAAATTTGAACGTAACTCTTCACCTCTTCACGCACCACAGGAACCTTTCCCACCTCATCACGCACCAGATCTCTCATAGAGAGTTGAGGGAGGGAGGGAGGGAGGGAGGGCGCACTTCGCCACGCCGCGTGAGCTCACCTATTTCCGTCAAGGGCCGAGTGTGAACAGTCCAGATCTTCTGGCACAACACCGCAGGCACAGAGAGAGAAAAAGTGTGTGAATGGGGATGCACGGTCCTTGATATTGTAAGCGACAGAAGGGAATGCTTCCAGTTTAGGAAAGACTGCGACGATGCCAGGCCGCAGTCAAAACCGATATCCAGAACAAGGAGGGGTGCAGGAGAATGACGAGAATGACGATGGCATCCAAACGTGTACCGTCTCCACCCGTATACAACGTACGGTCATTTTAGCGGTATTCGGGGCGACTTTCAGTCTAGATACAACAATAATGACCAGGGTTCTATTCGGATGAAGACGGTAGGAGGAGGAGACGGGGAGGAAAGAAGATAGAAACCAAAAGGAAGAGGAGGAGGAGGGACCAAGTAGGACTGAACAGGAGAAGAGGAGGAGGAGGCGGGCATTAAAAGAGCGAAAAAAAATTGCTGTTAGCGATCGAGTGTGGAGGGGGTTCGCGCCAAGAAAAGGAAAATTGAGACCGTATTTAACGGTTCAGTGGCGGGAAAATATTGATATGGCGGGAAATTTTTGATAAGATAAGTTAGACAGCGAAGGCCTCTGCCTGATGACAACGAAAGTAGGGTGCAGGCATTGGCGGGTGACAGATTGGACATCTGACGAAGGCGTAATGAACACATTGACAGGAAGACAGAGAGACAAGTCGGACGGAGAAAAAGAGCATGCAGAATATTGAGAAGGCCGAAAAAAAAAAAAAAAAAAAAAGAGAAGGCTAAACAGCGTCGAGAGGGCGGGACGGGGGAGAGCAGAGGACTGGAGGGGAACAAAAAAAACGGCGGGAAAAAAAAAAGACAGGAGAGTGTACGGTCTGTCACTCGGAAAATTTGTCGGCATAATCGGAAGTGAACGAGGGTTAGCAGTTCTTTTCTTAAAAAATCAATCAATCGAACCCTCAATCAAAAAATCAATCAATCAATCAATCAATCAATCAATCAATCAATCAATTAAATCGATCAATAAATAAGCACGTCAACCACAGCAATCAAGTCTATCGATCAAATATATTCAATTACTTGAATATATAGCAATCAAAAATCTACCACCAGTATTAATCAATTCCCTCACATGTATCACTCGGTACACTAAACACACAAAGTACCTGACAGATCTATCATTCATCTGAGAAAAAACGAAGAAGGAAAAAACAGGCACGGCAAAGATGTCTAGCAACGACACAAAGAAGAGAAAAGAAAGGGCAGCAGTGTTTGCATACCCACCCGCGTAGTGCGCCACTCCGCGGTGAAATCACCCTCCCGCTCCACCTTCTCTCTTCTTCTTCTTCTTCTTCTTCTTCTTCTTCTTCTTCTCCCGTTCCCCTCTCTTCAACGTGTTTTCAATTCCACTCTTTGAACCCTCGGCTATGCCGGCGTGGCTATGGTGGCGAAGCTATGCTCTGCTCGGCTATGCCGGCGTGGTTATGGCTAACACCTCCCTTTTCCCTCCCGTTCTCTCACTCCTCTCCCTCCTTTCCCTCCCCTGAAGTTCCAAGTGCGTCGTGGACTCAGTCGGGAATTCCTACCGTAGCTCAGGACGCGGTCCCTTCCGACGATTCTAGAGATGATAGGTGGGGTTGCCTCCCTACCACGCCTGACCCCCTTACCCTGACATAGGACCCACTTCGGGGGCTAGGTCCCACTTACACGAATCAACTGACATTGACCGTAGATAACAAAGATCAACGGCCAGAATCTCTTAATCTGTGCAAGTGGGACCTTGCCCCGGGCATGGTTCCACAGGACGGGGGGCAGCCACTCATCTAAGACGGTTGAATAGTAACCATCATCGACGGCCACGCTGCCGGCTATGCTATGTGTACTACACTAGTGGTAGTGCTACTTCAGTCGGGCGGGACCACCACCATCCACCTGCCTGCCTGCTCCCTCTCGTCCTCTCTTTTTACCGACTGTGGCACTCGTCGGACCCAATACCCGCCGAAAAAACCTGCGCGGGCGCGCCTAAACACGGCGGGATCGCGTCCTGAGCTTCCACGCATCAAGCGATGCCGTCCGTGGATGCCGGATATGCACGGTTGGGATCTCTTAGTGCGTGCAAGCCCTGGACGAGGTGACATTATGGTGGGGTGCAACTCACACCGCGCAAAGCGCAGCAACAGAGGAGGAGGGGGAGGAGGAGGAGGAAAAGGAAGGATGGTTTCATTTGCGCGGGGTAAATGCATTTGGTGATGGGGGAAGCGGAGAAACGAAAAAGTTTCGTTGGGCAGAGGCAATATATCGAGTTGAAATGTCCGCGCGCCGTGCCATGACTGTTTTTTTTCGTACCGTTTTACCTTCAAATATTTTTGAAATTCCTTCCTTTTTTCCGTATCCGTATTCGAAAAAAACCGCCCACGTGGCGCTTTGCTCCAAATTTGTTCAATTTTTCGTTTTTGGGTAATCCAGGGGTCCAGCTCAGTAGGTAAGGCACGTAAGTCGCATCCACGAGGTCTTGGGTTCAATCCCCGCCAACTCATGCACCTTCCTGGGCAAACTTGGCTGCCTCCACCTAGAGATAGGCCGTTGGTCCCCCCGAGCGGCATCGAGCAGTGACTGCTGTTGTTCGTGGGGGGAGGGGACCGGGGGCAAGGTCCCACTTGCACGGATTACGAGATTCTAACCGTTGATCTGTGTTATCTTCGGTCAATATCTCTTAATTCGTGTAAGTGGGACCTAGCCCCGGAGGGGAGGCACAGTGACTGGCCCATAAAAGAAGCTGGGTCCTGAAGCTACCAGCTGACCCCTAGCAGGTATCGCCCACCTGCAAGGTCAGGTGTACCACATGTTCTCTCATCAAAGGCTTAACTCCGGCTGGTTGCTACAGGGTTTCCTGTAATACTACAATTGGAAATGAAAAAAGGCTCACTTTTTGTTTTTCATCCCCGGCCTGACCCCGCCCCACCCCTAACCACGGTTCCACCAGCACACGAGTAGTGTAAAATGTCCGCACAAAACACCTGTGAGACAACTGGGGCAAATCGCCCTACCGTTGTTGCAGGAAAATCAGACGGCAGCAAACCCACGATGGATTTATATTTCGGAGTTGTGTTTCTATTTTGGTTTTGTTCTTTTTCTTTTTCTTTGCGAAGAATGGGAGGCGGAAAAAAGGGTAAAAACACGGCTCTGGGACCTTGTCCCACTAGCTCCGTTGAGCTAGGTCAACGTGCGGTTTTCGACCCTGTGTGACTGTACGCAACAAGGGAGATTAAAAGCGTCCAATTCATCCAACGGTCAGTTTTTTATAAAAAGGGCAATAGATACTATCTTCTCTTTTTCTTACAAAAAAAAACAGAAATAAATCCTTTCTCTTGAATACTACTACCCCTACCCTCGGCACTTTCCGTTGAACTAGCTGTCTCCTTTTTTCGAGACAGCTAGTTCAACGACCCTTGGATTCCTTTCTTGAG